GTTGTCATCAATATCATCATGTAACCAGGTTTCAATAAAGCATAGGGCAGCTGTGCTGTGAAAATCGGAATTGCATCTGTTTAAAAGGAATATTTCATCCATCTTGTTAGCAAGTGAATGTAAATTTGTCAGGAAGATTGAAGGCAGAGCAGTTCTATTTCCCCTATTCCTTAGCTAGTTCAAAATTCCCACTCTTTTACCTCATCTCCGTTTCCTTCGTTTGTTTTTGGGGTTTTTGGCAATCCATAGCTCTAGAGAATTTGCTTCTTCCTGTGTTAGAATCCCGTCCGTGTTTGTAAAGATGGGGGGTTTGCTGAGAAGCAACAAAGCTGCTCCTTAAAGAAACGTTGCTTAATTCTTAGTAGACGGTCTCGTGATGGTCTCTCTTAGACCATATATGTGTATTCTTGATCTGTGCTCAGGCAAAATATGCATATGCAATAGTTAGCACAATCCTGCTCTCCATCCATTCTGTATGTTGTACATCATCAGTCTGGTTTATTATATTTTTTTGTAGTTTTGGATACTCTTCACCACCACAAATACACAAGTGTTAATTATGTCTTTGAGTGCAATAAGAACATTTCTTGTGCTACTGTTTGGTTGTATGCAAAAGTTTCAATTCTCATGGTCAAATTGGATATTTTGAGGAATGAAATTCGACACAACCTCTACATACTAAGTTAAAAATAGCACTTAGCAATAACGATAGCACTTAGGCTTATACACCGCTTCATAGTGCTTTACAGCCCTCTCAAAGCAGTTTACACAGTCAGCATATCGCCCCCAACAACCTGGGTCCTCATTTTACCAACCTTGGATGGATGGAAGGCTGAGTCAACCTTGAGCCAGTCAGAATCAAAGGAATCGAACTGCTGACAGTCAGCAGTCAGCAGAATTAGCTGGCAATACTGCATTCTAATCACTGCACCACCACAGCTTTTAAAAGGACATAGTTCTTCAAATTTGAATGCAAATTTATTATATGCAATTATTTACGGAGAATAAGAAAAGAGTTAATATAGTACACATGGACATTTGGACACACGTTCAGGTGGTACATTATGACATCTCCTTTGGCAGAAATAACAGTTTCCAAATGTTTCTGTAGGCAGTAAGAATCTTTCTGCTCTTTTGTTTTCAATTTTTTTTTAATTTATCAAAATGGGAAATACAAAAGAAAATAAAAGGAAACTAGGAGAAGGGAAAAGGGGCAGGAAAAGAAAATGTAAGGTAAAAGGGGAAAACAGAAGGTGACTTCCGACTCTTTTTTTGCTCAGTGGAAGATAGCAATATTACAGCCTCAACTTTTTACTTTTACACATTAATATATACTAGCTATTTCTATAACAACAAATATATCTAATCGGCAAAACCAAAATCGAAGTGTTTTTTTTATCGCAAGCAAAAATCCAGAAGCGATTTCCAATAAAAAACCATAATTAAATATATTATCTTCTTTGAATAGAGCAATCAATTTAACCATCTTTGCTTTCTCTTCCTTGCTGTGGAAATTATGTATTTCTTTTTGCACTTAATAGTCTTTAGAAACGTTATAAACTATTACCATTTATGTTAACAAAATTCACTATATTCTTTCAGATTCTTTAACCTTTTTAAAGAGAAAAAAACCACTTTTCATACATTTTAAAACACTAAATGTTTCTTTAAAAACATTTCCAAAATCAATAAGTTTTAATACATCTTTTTAAACTGCCTCTTAACATACATACTTTAAAATTCATTTTCAGTAATATTTTACAAGCTTTAAAAATTACTCAAAAATTATATATGAAAGAAAAAACCATTTTCAAACTCACTTTATAAACACAAACAAAATAAAGCTGCATTAAAGCTTTCTTTCAATTACATAGATCAGACTAATAAAAATCCAACTCCAATTGACTAATTCAATTTAAATAACTCCAAGTTATCTTCACAGAATATCCATTTAAAGACTTTAAAGTTTTTTTAAGTTAATCTTTTTTTAACTTCCTATTAGCACAGATACTTTCAAATACACTTTCAATAAAATCTTACAAGCTTTAGGAATTGCTTAAGATAGATATATCTTAAGCAATTCCTAAAACCACGTTACATTAAAACTTTCAAGTATATTTATCAAACTGATAAAAACCTATCCTAATTCCAATTAACTCATTAAGTCACTCCTCCCATTTTATCTTCATAAAATAAACTCTTTTTCTTCTCTGGAATGTCTATCAAGTAATTATAAATTCTCTTTTTCTCAAGGATTTCTCTCTTTTTATTAATTTATAATATAAAATACAAAAGAAAATAGGAAAAATAGGGGAGGGAAAGGGAAGGGAAAAGTGTGGAAAAAGGAGGAAAAAGAGGAAAAAAAGGCGTTGACTTCCAACTCCCTCTGGTGCAGTAGAATAAGATAATAACATCAAAAGTAAAGTTTTTACTTTTACATAGTAGTATAAACTAGCCATTTCTATAACAACAAACCTATCTAATCAGTAAAATCAAAAATCAAAGTTTCATTTTTTTCTACCTCAAGCACAAAGTCCAGAAGCGGTTTCCAAATAGAAACAAAAGTAATTGTGTTTTTCTTTAATCAAAGCAGTCAATTTAGCCGTCTCTGCAACTCCATCAACTTTTGCAGTCAAGGATCAACTTTTTCTCAAGGATTTCTCAACCTTATTAGTATCCATGAAGAAAAAGTCCCAAACCTGTCCTCTTGAAAATTGCAGATTTTCTTGGAACTCTTTTTTCCATATGTTGGGCGGTTTATATTTATATAGGTGTCAGGTTTATATTCCAAGATTGCAATTGAGTCATTTGCATTGTCAGCTACTTGTGAAATTGCCTCAGTGGTTTGGTAGCTTCCTATACATAATTGCATCTCTGAAGTAATTTGAGTAGGGTTTTTTTAACATCCTTGGAACATAAATGGCCTATATAAACTATAAAATTTTCAAATACATCTCTAATAATTTGCTCCTCCATCTTTTTAACTCCCTCTTTAGATTTTTGGTAGATCATTTAAGAATTATTGGCCGGTCAGGATTCATAAAAATCAAAGCGTTTTAGCCACCGCAGCTAAGCAAACCAAGCTACAAATTACTGAAAAATAATAAATTAAAACCACAACTTTCTACCTTTATATTTCTCCATCAAAGTTGAAAAAAAAGTACTCCACACTTCCTTATTTTAACTTGCCTTCAGCAACCTTCTTCCTTGTTGTTTAACAATAAAGAAACCCCCAAAATGGCACAGATCTTCAACAAGGAATAACAAGCTGTGACTAAAGAGAGCTTCTCTTAGCTTAATAAAGATTAATAGTCCTTAAAAGTGATTAAGGAATAAAAAGCACAACTTAATGTCCATTTGAAAAATAAATTCCAAAACGGCTGCTTTTTTAAACAGCATAGTGATTGCAGCCCTGGCTCCCATTCACTGGCTCACCAGCTTGCTCCAAAGCACACCTGAAGCTGCGTGCTGTATGGAGGATCTTGTGGGATGATTCTAGGGTTCTCCCTAACCCAGGAGAATAATATAAACTAAAGGAATGCCAGTTCCTTCTGGTGGTAAGTAGAAAAAGTGACAGTCAGAGAAAAACCCTTCAGGGAGCCCCAGGGATCTCTCCTTGGGCATGTCGTCAGTTGGCCATCTTCACCAGAGGCCAAGAAACTTCCTGTTCTTTTGGAATATTTTCCCACTCATTCTTACAGAACTTTTCTAGTTTAGAAATATTCCTAGGTGTCCTTGCATATATTATATGTTTGAGATCACCCTACAGTTTCTCAATAATATCCAAGTTAGAATACTGAGAAGATTATTTCCAAACCTTTTATCTATTTTTCCTGCAAGCACTTAATGGTTATTCCAGAGTGTTGTCTTACTGAATTATCCAGCTACTTTCCAGCTTCAATATCTTCCACTATATAAGAATATTTCTGAGCCAGAAAAAATCTTCAAGGAAGAATAGGAAAACACTCCATGAAACTTCCTTAATTTTTTCCATACAACTACATTTGTTTATTGTAAAATAGTCTGCCTATCAAAGATTCACACACTATGTTAAATCATAAATTATGGTTTATCAACTGCAGTGGCTAGGTTTATTGCAGGCAAAAAATGAAGTGAAACATTCAACCAATATTTTTCTGTGTTAGTAAATTATTTGTCTTTATATTACATACATACACCTTATTAGCATAAACATATATACACATATAGATCATGCAAACAGTTGATTAAAAGATCTAAGAAAGATTTTTTTAAAAAAACAACATCCCAGGAAAAAAAATCACATGTTTATTTCTAGTATTAAATTGTATGGTTCGTTTCCTAGGATAATGTGTTGATCCAATTTTATAAAATATGATTAAAGCCTGATATATTGACTGTCCTAGGTTATTCCAAATTCTGTCTTTATAGTGTGTATGTGAACATATAACAAGACTTTCGAATATGAAGCTTCAAACTACAAATTTTTTTTAAAGCGATAAAACAATCTGAAAACAGTCCAAAAAAGTTATTAAAAATCATGTTCTAAAAATTATTAAAAGTTATATCAGTCTGTTGTATTGAGGTTAATCAATTGTAACTTGTAAGGAGAAAAATCAGCCTTTTCAGTCCAATCGAATCCAAGAAAGTGGTTATAATTCTGAAATAAAATCCAAATCAGGTGCTTTGTTTTTGAATATGTAACTTATTTCCAAACAACATTTAGCATATAAAATGAGATTAAATATCCATGGTTTGGTCTCTCATGCGCTTTGAAAATTAATTAACATTACTGTTGTTAAAAAATTGCATGCAATATATATTTTAACTTGCAAAAATCCTAAATGAAGTGAAATAAATGCACTTCTATGTGCTATGTGGAATTTTTAAATTGAAACTATTAAAAAAGGAGAAAAGTAATAGCATTGATAAGAATTAAGTGTTCCAGTAGAATTAAATATTCCAATATTCCAATAAAATATTGCATTGAAAGTCATCCGTGTTTTCTTTTCTTTTCACAGATAATCCTGAAATAGTGAACAGGAATGGCATGGAATGTCAAGAGGCCTTGTTGAGAACAGCAAAGCATTGTTACTGTACATACAACCCTGTCTCTTCCTTAACAGAATTGCCACAAACTGCATGCTGAGTAAAGAGACAAGTTTACTTTTGTCCACACTTAAGAGCTAGTGCTGCTATATCGTATATGAATATTAAGATGGTATGCTTAGTATATTAAAAACTAATCTAGTTAACTACCTGATGCCAGCTGTGATGGTTCAAGACATAAAAGGGTAATATTTTACTTTTAAAAGTTTTATATAACACTGTTTACTTCTTAGGAATATTGTCTTACCACCATAAAATAGTGAATGTAAGTAGTCCCATTCATGTATCGCAGGGTTCACAGTTTTATGACTCTTTCAATGTTAGCAATAACTGATTTACATTGGCCACTAAATCCAGGATCTAACTACATGAATAGTTTCCCATGAGAGCTGTTGCTTTGGTTGCATGTTTCTTAAACTGACCTCCCTGCACCCAGTTTACACAGAGAAATTCTTTTGAAACTGGACTTTCAAAAGTATTTTGTAATGCTGCAAAGGAGAATCTGGTCCCAGTGATGTAGGTCAAGGAAATTTAAAAACAAGATACTTTGGGATATCAGTGCTACTAGTTGCACTGTGATGATTGTTTGGGGACGAAATAAGTGATGCAGTGGTGGAATCACCACTAGAAGTTCCAGAGTAGTTTTCCTAGCTTGGTGTCCTTCGGATAAGTAGGATTTTTCCTTCCAGCATATGCAACCAGCATAGCCAATGGTCATGCTGTGGGTAGGTGGGTGGTTGGGGAATCCGGGGAGTCATAAGAAACCTAGGTTGAGGCACAGTCAATTGGATGAAGGTGAAACAGAAGATCTAAACCAGAGATGTCAAACTTGTGGTGTCACGTCGTCACGTGACGTATCGTGACTTTTTCCCCCTTTGCTAAACTGGGGATGGGCGTAGCCAGCGCATGACCCATCCAGCCCGTGGCCCGTGAGTTTGACACCCCTGATCTAAAGCAAAGGTGGCAAACTACGGCCCCTTTATGACTTGTGGATTTCAACTCCCAGAATTCCTGAGTCAGCATGGCTAGCTCAGGAATTCTGAGAGTTGAAGTCCACAAGCCATAAAAGGGCCATAGTTCCTCACCCCTGATCTAAGGTAAAGCACAAATTGCAGCAATGCACACAAGCTGCTTTGGGATATGTATGGAGAAGTTATATGGAATCACAACATTCTAGAATTAAATCAAACATTTGCACAGTATGATTTTCATACCCCTAACAAAAGTCTTGACTATGTTATTTTACAAAGAGAGAATATTTTTTAAAGAAGTCTTTGCAGAAGTGCCTAAATTTTGTCACATAAAACTTGAAACTTAAGTGACACTGCAGTCTATAATTGAATCTATGCCAAGTGATTCAGCTTTCAGATTTGCAATCAGGTTACCAAAAATCATTTGTTATAAAATAACTTCTTCCCAGTTAAATAAATGGGGCTACAGATTATATAAGATTATATGAAATTCTATTTCAACTCAAAACTCAGTGCAGTCACTGTAAAAGCTAATAAGTGACTCTAATATAGACAATTTGGAAAATATAGAAAAGGATATAAAAAGAACCTCATTTTAATTCATTGTTACTACTACCATATTTTTAAAATAAAATTTAAAAAGATTACAACAAAGAGAAAGAAACTAGTTCTTTTAATTGTTTATTTAAAAGCTTACTTTATGTCACAGAAATGCAAAGTTATGTTTAATACAGCTGTATTAAATACAGAATGTATTATATACAGCTGTATACTGAATCATATACAGCACACATATGGGCAAAACATATTTTAATATTTACTTTTTCAAAACTGCATTGATTTTCAAAACAGTTATACACAAATTTGTTTGTTTGGAAGGTTGTACCAAATACATTACATTTAATGTTTTGTATATTGCACATATGTCACATAAATATATAGTTTTAAAATTAATGTTTCTAAACAAAAAATTGTCTAAAAATATGCATAATTATTGGAAACATTTTCCCTTATGAAAATTATAAATGATTGCAGTATTTTAACTTAGGCTTTTCAGATTGATATGGGTTTGGCAGCATTGCCTATTCTAAGAGACAGATCTACTAATTTATTTTTAATAACTTTATTTTTCAGTATTAATTTTGTGTTTCAAATGTCTAATGTTGTTTATATTAACCATAGTTTAATCATTTAAAGAGGAACACATACCGTACACCCAAAAATCTTATAGAAAACATGTTGTAATCTTGCATTTATTTTCATCTCAACTGTGAGAAAAATGTATGCAACTTTTGTTTTTACTTATAAATTTGTCATTATAACTTGTTTGTTGACTTGGCTGTTTACTTAACCTCTGTGCTAATTAATAATTTTTTTAATGGTCCATTTAAATATTTGGTAGATTATTCAATAATACAAAATGGCAAATTATGTATGCTTAAAATATTTAAACTGTAGAAAAAATATATGAACATAATACATTTAAACAATTATTTTCTTAGAATCACTCTGATATTATTTACTCTATTGAGAAACATACTTTTAAGACACTTGTGAATTTTTTTTCTGGATAAAGACTGAACAAAAGAAAATGTATTTTTAAAAAATCAGAGAGATCCCCTCTGTTGGATATAAGTTTGTTCTGTTCCTACATTAACCAATATATTAAATATTAAATTATTTCTTCCTGATAAAGATCAAGTTGATCTCCTTGGGGATATGTTGGAATACGTGCTTTAGGTAGTTTTAAAGTATGTCACAGAGAATGTACAAATAGTAAAAATGACATTGAGTATGATTGATACCTATGCAGTCCACTTTTGAATTGAGCCCTTAAATTGTCCCTCACCTACCCTGTTACAGATTTTTGAGGAAATATTGCTCCATTTGTCTCTGGCATATTATGTCAATAATTCCATTTTTATTCCGCTCTGATTCCACCTTCATGAACAGGTTGTTTTCTTTTTTTTAATAAGCATATTAACATTCCTCTGCTTTGAAGAGGACAATATTACTTGATTTCAGTCCTATCTAGATTATTTTAATCTTCAAGCATTTTCCTGGAAGGACTGTACTTACTTTGACAAGTTTCTTAATTTCACCAGTTTCTAAATTTTGACATTTAAACCAAACCAAATTAAACTTCATTCCAACATAATCTTTATATGAGATCACAAAACAAGTTCTGACCCTGTCCTACATTTGTATGTATTTGTGGGTATACATGTGCACACACATATGTACATATACATGTGTATATGCTAAACTAACTATGAATGTGTATGTCAAATGTAATGTCCACTTGCAAAAGTAACTTAGTTCTATTAGTTTCAGCAAAACTATCTAGGACAGCAGAAATTATGAAAGTATAGACTTGCCCCATATGTATAGCTGTTTCCAAAGAAACAATTACTAGTCTGAGCTCTATTCTCATATTCACCATAATTTATTTAATCCCTGTGCTTCTTGCTTTGGGTCTGTATTAAATAACAGCCTAATAATGAAATGTTAAGGGCATAGTTTTATTTATTATGGATTAAATTTGTAGAATATATTGATTTGGGGATGGTATAAAACTTTTTTTGGGTATAAATGTTATTTGCCAAAATTTCAGTTATATTTTGAAAAAGAATGCATAATGATAGAAAATGGAGGGCATGTTGTTGTGTATATATATGTGTGTGTGTGTGTGTGTGTGTACAGTTAATATCTCAGGTTTCTTCCCATGTAATTGTAAACATATCCCTAAAAGGGTAGTAGCGACGTTTCGACGAAATCACATTCGTCATCTTCTGGCTAAAGTTCTTGGTTTGGTGCTTATGGGCAAACTGTGTGAACGTAACTGACGTTTTTCTATGAAAAGAGGCAAAGGTGCATTCTGATTGGTCAACAGTGCCGTTGTATTCTGATTGGCTGATGACGGCACTGTTGACCAATCAGAATGCACCTTTGCCTCTTTTCATAGAAAAACATCAATTACGTTCACACAGTTTGCCCATAAGCATCAAACCAAGAACTTTAGCCAAAAGATGACGAATGTGATTTCGTCGAAACGTCGCTACTACCCTTTTAGGGATATGTTTACAATTACACGGGAAGAAACCCGAGATATTAACTGTACACCCGTGTGTATATACCCGTGAAAACTTACACACACGCACACACACACACACACACACACACACACATATATATATGCACACTAACCTAGAAATGGAAGCATAATTTCATATTATTTGAGATATGCCTATACTTTTTGTAAGGTCTTCACCAAAGTATCTTAATCTGTCTACTCTATACAAAATTATTTACACTGCTAACAGTTAAATAAATCCCTCTCATTGATTCATGTCATTAACTATTTAGTAAAATACATACCCATTTATAAGTGTGTTGAGGTATAATTTAATTACCTATGTACAACCATGAAAATAAAAAAAAGCCTTTTAAAATCATTCCAGTATATCAGTGTTCTCTATGAGACAGAGAAGCAAAATGCTTGAATGGAAAAATGCATCTTTTTTTGTTTGTTAAAACATATAAACAGAAGGAAATTTAATTTGCTTTCAAACAATAGTGCCAGATATACTTCGCATTTTCAGTTCACAGTGGAGCAACACCATATAGTAAACTTCCATAGGACAACACGTTGTTCGCTCAGTTTTGTTGCTTGATACCAGCTATCTCAAAGTACTTTAAAGTTGATGATGCTCTTTGAAAGGAAAAAAAGCACTGAAACTGTCAGAGGTGATCATTTCAAAAATCGTGGACATTGTTTGGTTCAATGTTCAATGCAGGGGTGTCAAACTCAAGGCCCATTGGCCGGATCTGGCCTGTGGGGTGCTTAGATCTGGCCCGCAGGGGCACCCTGGGAACAGCAAAGAACCAGCCGGGTGCCCCTGCCAGCAAACACGGACCTTGGGAGGACTGAGCACGGTCCTCTCAAGCTCTGTTTTTGCTGGCAGAGAGTTGCAGGAGGCCGTCACAGCCGAAAATGGAGCTCGGGAGCCTGTTTTTGCTGGCAGAGCGCTCGGGTCATCACAGGTGCCCCCAACACGAGTGACATCGAGCTGGCCATGCCCTCCTGGCCACGCCCACCCTAGCCCCCCAAGATCAAACACAACCCTGATGCAGCCCTCAATAAAATCAAGTTTGACACCCCTGGTTCAATGAGTTTGTGCCCAATGTCTATTGCATATCTATCACAATCCTGAAATTTTAATGAGTCTTCACTTTGGTCAAGATGGATTCATTGTCCTCTGCTGTCTTGTTGGAGCACTATAAAAATATTTGACTTCATTAATATATGTATACTTGGGTGTGAGGGGAAGGAACAACCCACTGGAATCTGGATTTTTTCATTGTTTGTTCTACAGGGAATCTCAGACAGTGTTCACCCTAACCTGAAGAAATGGCCTTGCAAAAAGCATGAATTCTATAAGCCTTTTCTCCAGTCTGACCATTCAGATACATCCTTCCAGTTGTCTAATTCTGTACGACTATATATATATGTATATGTATATATTCATATACTTTATGTTTACAAGTGTGACTGAAACATGGCAAAACAGTCTAGCGGTAGGTTGGCAAAAGAATGGGATATGTTTGTATACTCTCTCCATATTTATTCAACCGATATGCTAAATATATATGGAGGGAGATTCTATGGAAAAAATGATTGTTTTTAACAAATAGTGTATTTAAACAGTATTTTGATAGTTGAAAATGCAAAAGATCTGGAGCAGGGGTGAAATGCTACTGGTTCGCTCCAGTTCGGGGGAACTGGTAGTGATAAAAAACTACCGGTTCAAGTGAACCAGTAGTTTAAAAAAACCTACAAATTCGGGCAAACTGGTAGTTAAAAAAAGCAGTTTAGCTTTGGAAATCCTGCTTTCTAGGAAATCCTGCTTTCTAGCGAAGCTAAATTGCGCAGCACAACTGATTCCCCCCCTCGCTGTTCTACTTACCCAAGCCTCCTTTTGGTGCTTGCATTCGTGCGGTGCACATTTGGTGGACACTGCGCATGCGTGCACACGCAGGCCAAGATTATATTAGCCACAAAGAAATCATTAGATTTACAGAATTGGAAGTCATTGGGACTTCCAGGGCATGGCATTTTGATCTGGTCACAGCATAAGAAGTCGTCATTCGGTTTTTTTTTCCATGGCTGGGCTATTGCCATGGCTGCATCTCACCTATCCATGCTTCATGAGCTGGCAGCAGACATTAGCATGGGAGTTGTGGGGGAGAAGGAAGGATTGGAATGTGAAGAAAGGGGAGGATGGAAGCCCAGCTGAGCCATCAAGAAGCTCCAGCCAGCCAAGGTCATTAAAGATATGCAGGGCTGGGAACCGAGCACTTGTTTCCTGAACAATATTCAAGCACCTGATTGGACATTTGCAGATAAGCAGGGAATGCTGGGTGAAGAAGAAGGAAGATTCCTTTGTGGTGTTTGCATGGGAAAACCTCTGATTCAGCTTAATGTCATCTGTCATCTGTCCCCACTCAGTCATCTAACTGAGACAGCTGTTTGTTTTGGATTTTATTTACAATAAGGAAGAGATTTTTGACCATAAGAGCTATTAAGCATCCTATCTTCTGGAACAGGAGTCTCCAACCTTGGCAACTTTAAGACTTGTGGACTTCAACTCCCAGAGTTCCTCAGCCAGCAACATGATGAATAGCTTCTGCCTTTCAACAGTTAAAATAGTCAAGAAATAAATGTACTTTGTAGGGTTGCAATAAAGGCCTTGGAAAAGATATTCAGATACCATAATTTGTCTATACCTACAAAGAAAAGTGGTGCAGGCATTTTTTTTCCCCTTTTTCTACGGAAGCAAAAGTTGAAGAAGCAGGATTTTAAAAATGATGCTTTTGTGTAGTTTGGTGCTTGAGAATAGCCTAAGAATAGCCAAGATAGCCAAAATAAAGAAAGAAATGGATTGTAGAACTAATCAATCTAATGTTGAAATATGATGACCAGACATATTTTGGCATAGTATGCAAAGCTCTAATTCTCTTGAAAAGTCTCCAGGGTTGGGAAGAAAAAATGAACAGCAACAATCAATGAATGAATGAATTGAATGAATGAACAGCAGACTTGAACGGTTGGAGGACTTGATAAGCTAAATTGGAACCGATCACTTTAGAGGTCTATGCAGTTAGAATTGACACTGGCTTGATGGCATGTAATCAGTCCATCAATCCTATCACATTATGATTTTATTGTGCTTTTTTACAACAATAGAAAACTCTGCATTTAAACATTAATCTTCTGATTTATAGAGTGGTAGACTGCCACCAGTTCAAACCAGTTCTAGTGAACC